ACAAATCTGTGCCCAAAACGATCAAAACTCAACACCTTCGAAAACAGAAACAGGATTAGGAGTCCTTACAGCGAGATAAACAAATCGCTCAACAGCGGCGACGGACAAAAAGCGCTCCGCGGCCTCCGAAACCAAGCTTTTCCTTTGCTTTTCTTCTCTTTCTCTCTGCTCAGGTATTTTTGATTTTATAAAAAAGCTTTTCTCTCTCCTCAAATCGAGCTGATTTCCTTATAACATCAGTCTGATCGTCTTGGCCGATCGCCACATCGTCGAGGGCGATATGAACAATTTTCAATCATCCAGGACGATTTTGCAGGACGATAATTAATTTGCCGAAAACCCTTGCTCTCGGGATTTTGCCATGCACTGATCGTCCCAGAAAGCTATTTGAGGAAAGTAATTTACTCAATGGAATTTGAAATTCAAAGGAGAAAACATATGATGGTCGGCGGCATGCTTGGGAGGCTGAGAGGGACGGCTAGATGGGGGGCTGTCGGGCTGATAGATTTTCCAGCCGGCGGTATGGCTGGAAGGGGATGGCGGGATGGGTGGCTGGGGGTGAAACCGTGGAAGAGAACAAAGGGGGAAGGGGCCGGGTGGCTGACCGGCCAAATGGAGGGGTGGTGGGGAAAAATCCGGCGGCTAGGAGAGAGGGAAGAAAAGAAGTGGGGCTGTTGGGTATTGCTTTGAGCCTCTCCTATGCTTTCCTCGCTTGAGAACTCACAAAGAGAACTCTAGAACTCACAAAGAGATCCAAAATCAAATTTTCATTAGCAATAATCATTATCCCTTTCCAAGAGGAAGGGGAAAGGCTTAAATAGCCAAATACATGAAGGAAAATAAAAAGACACAATTGCCCCTAGGGCAAACATAAGACAAAGCCCTCAAGTGAGGGTAGAAAGGGAAAAGTACAAAAATCAAATACATCAAAATAAATAGATACGATCGTAGCCGTTGATCTTTGATGTCCTCATCAAATTCACAAATGAAAAGTGAACTTGGTCCATTAGTCTTCAAAACCTTTTTCTACTATCCTCAAAAGCTTTAGTTGAAAAGCACTTTTGGGCCCTTACTCCATAATGCGCGGCCAATATTTCAATGTTAAGACAATCAAGTGGCAACTTTTATGATGTAATGCATTATATATTTTTGGATAAAAGTATACATAAATTTAATAATTATTTATCCAATTAAGTGAGGGACAGGAGAGATTTTTTGCTTGGACAACAATGGTTGGTTGGTCTAGGTAGATTTTAAGAAGAGGCAGACATTTTTTATCCTGATGCAACAAATTGTAGGTTGGGTCTGAAAAATTCTCATTGCTTGTTTGTTTAAATGCATTATATGGCTATAAAGTAGAAGATTGCAAGGGTTTCAATATTTGAACATTTGATATGAAATAACTAAATGCAAAGTAAAATTTTCCTTGCAAAAGATACTATTACCCTACCAAAGAAACTCGGTTGTTTTGGACGAAAAGGAAATACAGCATGGAGCAGTTCAAGAGTCTTCCATTTTCCCTCTTTCACTCATATGCCCTTAATGAAAAAAGTTATGGCACACCCTTCCTTGCTTGAGTTTTCCACTTTGCTCGCTCTCGAATGGAGCCTTCGACGTTGGTCATAGTTCTCAACACTACCATTGAACATAGCCATCAACGCCCATTGTAGCTACACCCAATGGTAGTTCTTGATAGTGTTTTTTGCATGTTGCATTACAGGATGGTGATTCCTACATGACAACGTAGCTTATATTTAAGAGCAAAATGAGCGGCTTAGTTCAAGCATTTGGACTGCAGTTATGTTCATAGGAATAAACCTCATTATTAAACTGGAAAAGTAGTATATCTTTCTAGAGATGAGTTATTTCTAACTTCTTTGATATTTTTATTGTATGGTTGATCGAAAAAAGGCATATTTCACTAGTCAAGCCACAATTCTGCGCTCTAGTTGTTTCTTCTCTTATTGGGAAGAAGAAGGTTTCGTTTGGGACAAGTTTTGACCACTATTTTTTCTATTTTTAAGAAATTTTTGTGCTAGAAATCTCTTTTAGAAAGCAGTAATAAATTATCTCAAACAAATTTAAAATCATTAGATTGAAACTTTGTAAAACAAAAACTATGTTATTGTTCATATTAGCTTTCGATTTAACGCTGCCATATCTTACTCTATTGACTCATAAATAAGTTTCATTTTATTATAATTTGGATTATGTCAATAAACATATTTATAAACTGATTTTTTTTGAAATATAAATAGTTCTACAGTTTTTGTTTGAGAATTAAGCACTATCAAACTGCAAAATAGTACTGGTTGGTACACTTCAATTATTTTTTTGGCCTAATTGAATTGTAGTATTGCATGGCTGATCGACAATGGCACATTTCACTGGTTCTTGCTGTCACTATATATCTTGAGAATAAATCACTTGGAAATTGGACCTCATAAAAGAATATCATCTTATTGTTCATATTAGCTTTGAAGCTGTACATCTCAGCTATTATCTCAATTTGAATACTTCTTGTATCCCCCAGGCCTCAAAATGCATTATTTTCCATTTTTCCTTCCCTCGGATAAAAAAATTCTATGCATGTTCAGCAATCCTTTTTGATTCTACATATTCTTTCAAATCTCACATTGACGTCAGCCATCTTTGGGTCTTGTTGGTTAAGAAGCGGTTAGTGAGAGAAGTAGAGAAAGCAGGTGGACTAGTGGAAAGTGACGTCTTCCCAGAAAGTGACAAATATAATTTTTAAGCATTTGACTTAGAAATCATTAAATGTGGCTCTCACATTCCTGAAAAAACTATACTGCCATTAACAATTCACACCACGAGAAATTATTCTGTGTGGAGTCCGGACGTAGCTTGCTTCCAGACTCCAATTAAAATAGGTCATGTTGCATGTACATGAAAAATTATTATGTGCGGATCCCGGACATCGTCCGGAGACCAACGAGAATGCGCCACGTCACTTTTTTGCTCGGTATCGGTGATGGGTACCGCTGGGTACCAGGTGACGTGTCACATTTTGGTTGGTCTCCGGACCGTCCGGTGTCCGCACAAAATAATTTCTCCCTATGCATAGCCTGTGTACAACCTTGTACATAGGGTGTGTATAATACATACCCTATGTACAGACAACGTGACAAATTTTGATTGGAGTCTGGATGCATCCGGACTTCACACGTAATAATTTCTCTCACACCATGCAAATAATATCATTCATGATATTATAATTATTTTATACATTTAAATTATACACACAATATGAATAATTAATGCATACTTTATTAGTTTATATTAAAATAATAAATGCAATATTATTTATGCGTATGCATATATACATCTTATTAAAATATATCCTTTATATTATATAAGTGCTTTCATTCATGTTTAACTTTTCTCCTACCCCATCAGTTTCAAATCCTCATTAAATTTTACTAAAATTTATACCTAAACAGGTTCAGAAGCACATCAAGATTCGAATGGAAGCCTATCAAAACTACATAGATTCCTTATTGGAGAAGGCTTGCAAGATTGCATCCGAGCAAATTGCTTCAGGTGGTTTTAATGGACAGGTCTGTCCACCACCCAGCTCTCTCACCAAATCTGTGTTTCAGCAACTGCCATTGACAGAGTCTTCACCTCGCTTCAGCCATTGATGTCCAGTTCTGAAGCTCGGCCATGGTAGATTGTTGCTAGGTGAAAATTTTGATTTCATTTCATTGCAGACCTTGGGTTCTGAAGTTTCATGAGCTCTCAGGGAAGAATGTTTCCCCCACTTCCATCTGACTCCTTTGTAAAGGAATCATCATTAGTTATATACTAGTTTCAGCTAAACAAATTTCGTCCTTTTGTGCTTCTGGTTTATTTTTATATTATATTGCAATCCTTTGATTTCCTCTATTATATTCCTTTGCACTTACTGCTGATCTTGCTAGTGTCCAAATCTACTTGGTTTGCAGTTTTTGCATTTTCTGTTTATTGCTTGGTTTAGAGTTCTAAATATGATTTGAGCAGAAGAGATTAGAGGCCGAATTGAATGGAGCTTATGGTGTTGTAAATTATAGATTTTACATATATATAACTTGTAAAATTTACTGTTTATGCCCCTTGCACTCTAAGCTTTAAGCAATGTAAAAGATGACACTCCTTATTCTCTTCTCACAATCTCATGACTAATGGCGAGGTAGGTTAGCAACCTAATCTCTCAAAGAGATCATATCCATAGCAATACAGAATAGATAGGGAAAAAGCGGGCAACCTTATCTGAGATCAGAAGAAGAGCTAAAAAATTCTCTTAAAGAACCATTGAGACAAAGAGAAAAATAAACATTGTCAATGCAATCTTTAATCCAGTCGATAAAAACATTAGGGATTCCTTTGTCATGAAGCCTAGAGAAGATGTAATTCCTGCAAATCGAGTCAAAAGCCTTGAATATGTCAAATTTTACACAGAAGTAGTTTGAGTGAAGATCCTTTTTGAAGTCAGAAAGAAGCTCAGCAGCTAAAAGTATATTATATGAAGACACTGTCTTTAATTAAACCAGATTGAGACTTATCAATTATATGAGGCGTGCAATCTTTAAGCCTATTAGCAAAAAGTTTTGCAAATGAATTTATAAAAAGAAATGCAAAGAGATGTTGGCTTGTAATCTTTAATGTTACCAATAGCAAAATTTTTAGGAATCAAAGAAAGGAACAATTATTAGGTCCGGTGATTAGACGTATCTCTACGTTCGGTCACCACTGAGATCGCGCCACGTGCTCTTACTCTTTATCGAGCGGCCCGACGACTTGACCCGGACCGGAAACCGGGAATGCTATGTTCGCGTATTGCTAGGTATTACTCAGTATTTGCTCGGTATTGCTAGGTATTGCTTGTCAATAACGAGAAATACCGCTTTGTGAAGACTAATACCGAGTTTTTATAGAAAAACTCATTATTGCTCGGTATTTGTTCACATAATGGTATTTCTTGTTATTGCCGAGCAAAATCGACAAATACCTAGCAATACCTATAAATACCAGGTTGTCATGGATTTAAAAAACGCACGTGCGATATACCCACTATTCGTCGGGTCGGGTCCGTGGTTTTGTGCCTGCTACGTGGCGCGATCTCAGTGCCGGCCGAACGTAGCTCTACGTCCGAATAAAAGTTCCAAAGAAAGGGAGGTAGCTTTCACTTTTTTTGGGGAACTTTTTGGGATGGCCGAAAATGTATCTAATTGCAATATTCATAAGGGATAGTCTATTGTAAAATGATTTGATCATTCATTAGTAGCGGTATATTTAACATATTCTTGATCTACCAAATATCGATTAGTTGACTATAATAAATAATCATAATAATATATTTTTTTAATTTCATTAGAATGATATTTTTTTTTTTTTTTTTTTTTGCTTCTTGAAATAAAATCGGGATTATATTTAAAGATATTATCATATTAAGCTTATTTTATATGATTTTGGATTTTTTCCTGTAATTTTAAAAGATGAATATAATTACATTTTTAAATAAATAATTTAGTTATGTTATACTTATGAATGTAACAATTTAATAATATAATTATATTAAAAATAACATATGATAATTATAATAAAATTAGCCATACAAAATATATCAAAATGTAATGACATTTTTTATTTTATTTTTTTAACAAACATGCTCAGGTGTGCCTGTGGCAATCCACCAACCGATAACGTCGTTAGCAAATGTGTAAACGCCGTTAAGAGACCGTAACGTTCCGGGTAGTGCGGGCAGTCCTTCTAGCCGTCCACGGGTAGCTCTCGATCAAAACAATAGTAGAGCTCTCTCTGCTCTCCATTTCCGTGCGGAAGGGGCCCAACCTCTCTGATTGGTCGTCACGAGCACACGATTCTAACGAATCTCCGACCCCAGGCGAGAAGGAATCGAATCCGATGGTGTGCGGAAGCTAAAATTTCGCATACTTTATCCCTCAAAGTTGGAATCTTTTTGCAGTTCTGGTGGCCCTTAACTTGTTTATTCGTTGCTCTCCTTCTTGTCCTTCGAACACCCAATTTGCACTGCGTTTTCAAAGAATTCGTTGCTCGGAGTATCTGTGAAGTTCGGATTCCAGGGTTTCTTGGATTTGGGTACTGCTCATCTTCTCTTATCTTGTGTTTTGCTTGGATTTGAGGTTTTGCTTCCTTTCGTCGATGGGCGTTTGTGTTATTTGTGAATCGGATTACTGGTTTTTTCATCTCTTTGGTGAACAGTAGGTATCTGGTTGTTGTCAGATAATCTTCCATTAATAGGTAAAATTAGAACCCCTGCTATATTGAGCTAAGGGAAATTGGGGCTCGGTACAACTGTGGTTTACCCGGTTCATGATTTCATTGTTAAATATGTGGTTTTCATCTTTTTTTTTTTCGTTCTTTTTCAAAGCGGCAAACCAGTCAAAGCGGACGCCTTTTGCTTTTATTGAATTTCTCTACTTCTTAGAAGTATATCATGAAGGGTGTAGTAGGTTTTTGGGCATTTGACTGCATTTTTATCCTTTTGACCATTTCATATTATTTTTCTTTGTTTGGAACTGATTTTAGTCTTTACTGGTGCAACAATGTTTTAGCTTCTCTGCGTTTGCTGTGGTAAGCTTTGGAGTTCTTGACTATTGATGGTTTTTTATTACTGGTTGCATATATTTTTGGTATTTTACTTCGAGACTTTTTAATTTTTTCGCTTGATTTAGTGCTTAACTGATGATCTGCCCACTTTATTTACAAATACAGATTATGAGACATGTATCAGCCAAAACATATTTCTAGTTTAAATTCTGTTCATAACAACGGAGTAGCTCATGACCAGATAATAGAATTCACTGGGAATACAATGAGCCCTAATGGTTCTGCAAACAACTCTAGCAATCCCAACTTGTCCTCAAGGCAGCGTTTAAGGTGGACGCATGAGCTTCATGAACGCTTTGTGGATGCTGTGACACAACTTGGTGGACCAGACAGTGAGTACTTCTTTCAGATTGACCTGAAGTTTTTTTTTTTTTTTTTTTAAGAATAATAATAAGAAATTGGTGGTAAGGAATATAGGATTGTTCAGATGTGCTTTTTCTATTATTTATTTTCATTTCAACAGATTGTCTGTTTGTGGATATTGAAAGATGAATATGCCCTTTCTTTCATGTACTTGTCAAATATGTCATTTAAACACAAACTGATCATGTATCAACCATGTAAGTTAAAGCATGACTACTCTTCACATATTGATTTCTTGTATCATGCAGAACATGATTCAGGAATACTACAATTTCATAAAAAAGGTAATGGAGTTACTTTACTGTATTGTAGGAATCTGGAATCATTTTGAGAGCGTTAAAAGTTACTTATAGTTTCCTTTTATAAGAAATTTGGTCATATTAGTGAAACGGTAGGAGCAATAGGAGCAGCAGGGGCGACAGGAGCAGCAGGAGGGCTGAGATGCCTGAACCAACCCAGCTGGCCGGTTCAACAGGAGCTGAACCAGCCAAGGGTTGGGCAGAAGCAGGAGGGGAGCTAGGGGGAGGGGGGATTCGGCCAGCTTTGTTGGGCTAAGGAGAGGCAATTAATTAAGAAAAGTTTTAATTATAATTGGTTAGAGAAAGAAATCTAATTTGAATTCAAATATGAAAGGAAATTATTTTGAGAGAGCCCAGGAGAGTTAATATTCATTAAGTAAGGAGGATTCAAGGTGGAATTACTTATGAAAGTTTTAATTACAATTAGGAGGGAATTATTTATGGAAATGGGCCTGATTTGGGAGGGAATTAGGAGAGTCTATTTTAGGCTAACTATGGGGTGATTTCAGATTATGCTTGATTTTGTTGGAATTAGTTTTGCTTAGGTTGAGTGGGCTTTAGTCGACTGCTAGGGATTTGAGAGATCCGGATCTTCCTCTTCAATTGAAGATCAAACTGTTTCTTGCTATTTTCTTTCCTATATCTTGCAATAAAAAAAAGTTTTCCTAAATTTCTTGTGTCATTTCCTGGTTTTGTTGAAATTGCATCCACTTCGTATTAAATTGGTATCAGAGCGAGATTTTGGGAGAGATGACAACAAAGAAGATGGATGCATTAGAAGGCGAAGTGGAGCAAATCAAATCTGGGATGATGGAGAAATTCTTAACCATCTAAGAAAGAGTCACCTCCTAATGCTTTGATAAGGGGAGTAATAGGGTTTTAAGATAGGAGGACTGCAGGAAGTGAGTTTCGTGGTGAAGGTGGTGGGGTGGCCGACCACTAAGGGAGGTCTTTTGGGTAAGGAGAGTGGAAAACCGGAGATGAAGGAGGTCAAATTGAGTCATGGGGATCGGGTCAGGCAAGGAGGGTGGAAGAAAGGTGGGATTTTCACCATAGATACATGGGAGAAACATAGAGGGATCACGACAATCGTTATATTAGAGGAGGAAGAAGTTGTTGGGGTGGTGGCGATCCTAGGGTGAGGAAGTTGAAGATGTCGGTATTCGAAGGGGAGGATGCCTATGGTTGGATATATCGGGTGGAGAGGTATTTCGTGGTGAATTGGGTGAGAAAGGAGGAGAAGCTTACGACCGCAAGACTATATCTGGAGGGGAAGCCCTCGCTTGGTTTCAGTGGAGGGAGGCTAGATACCCGATCGGCTCTTGGGAGGAGTTTAAGGATTGCTTTTTGTAACTTTTTCGAGCCATTCAGGGAAGAGACCTACACGAGCAATTACTTGCCTTGGCACGGGAGGGGGGTGCTATGGAGTATAGGGAAATGCTTGAGCTGTTGTCAGGGCAGTTGAGGGGAATTTCATAGGCGCTGTTAGAGGGAAATTTCATGTAAGGTCTTAAGCCCGACATATGTGCAGACCTCTAATTGTTGAGGCCGAGGGGATTGAAGGAGACCATGGAGCTAGCATAAATAGCGGAGGACCAGAGGTAGATGGAGAGGACTAGCAGGAGCAGAGTCATTGGAGGCTCCTACAGGAACCCCTCATTTTTATTGGCATCGAAGACTCAGATGGTGAGGCACCAAGGGAGAAGAGTACGTGAGGGAGATCATCCCAGAGCCAACTTCAAGCGCCTCACAAAGGCAGAGGTGTAGGACAAAATAGTTAAGGGTTTGTGCTTCAAATGTGATGAGAAGTATGCACCCAACCATCAGAGCAAAAATAGTATGCTCCAAGTCCTTATTGTTTGTGATGAGGTGGAGATCGACATCAAGGAGTTTGATAAGGAGGCAGAAGAGGGAGGGGATCACCTACACCTTGATGGCGCGGGAATACTAGTCTTCGAGCAATAAAAGAGAGACATGACCAGCATGCTTGTCTTAGTACTTCCTGACTTCAACATACTATTTGTGGTGGAGACGGATGCGGACTTGGGGGAAATGCTCATGCAAGATCTTCAGCCAAGTGCTTATGACCAGGGCAAGGCTTAAGTACGTATACGAGCGGGAGTTGATGATGATTGTCTTAGCCATACAGAAGTGCCTTTCATATTGGGTAAGATGACACTTTATTGTCAGGATAGACTAGAGGAGTCTGAAGTGTCTGTTGGTACAGAGGATGGGGCTAAGGAGCATCAGGGGTGGTTATCTAAGTTACTTGGATATGATTGTGATATCCAATATCGCTCAGGACTGAAGAATAAAGCCGTGAATGCACTATCAAGGAAGATGGACCATCCACACTGACAGTTCTATCAATACTTATGTGCTGAGGGGAAACAAGAGCACGAGGTACTAATCATTGGAATGATCTACCGGAGCACAAAGCCACATGGGATCCATATGAGATGATCATGAGGCAGTTCTCTTCTTTCCACTTTGAGGATAATGTGTTTCTTTTTTTTTTTTGTGGGGGTGGGGGTGGGGGGGGGGGCGGGGGGGGGTGGTGGAGGGGCGAGATTGATACAACAGTAGTAGCAGGAGGACTGGACTACCTAAACCAACCCAGCAACCGGTTTAGCAGGAATCAAACCAACCAAGGGCTAGGTGGGGAGCCAGGAGGAAATTTGGCTATCTTTATGGGGCCCAGGAAAGGCAATTAATTAAGGATAGTTTTAATTACAGTTGGGAGGGAATTAATTGGGGGAAGAAATTTAATTTGAATTCAAAAATGAGAGGGAATTCTTTAGGTAGAGCCTAGGGTAATTAATATTCATTATGTAAGGAGGAATCAAGAGGGAATTGTTTAGGAAAGTTTTAATTATAATTGGGAGGGAATTAATTAGGTAATGAAATCTAATTTAAATTCAAATCTGAGAGAGAATTATTTAGGGAAAGGGGGTTGATTTGGGAGGGAATTATGAGAGCCTATTTAAGGCTAATGATGGGGTGATTCCAGATTATGCTTAATTTTGTTTGAATTAGTTTTGCTTAGGTTGAGTGGGCTCTAGCCGATGACTAGAGATTTGGGAGAGCCGGATCTTCCTCTCCAATTGAAGATTCAACTGTATCTTGCTATTTTCTTTCATGTATTTTGCAATAAAAAAGAGTTCTAGTGTGTTCTACCTAAATTTCTTGTGTCATTTCCTGGTTTAACTGAAATTGCATCCACTTCGTATCAGTTAGATTGTGGAACCTCTAGATTTAACGGGATGTTTCCTCAAAGTTTACCTAAAACATCATGAAGAAGCTTATGCAAGTCTACAAAGCTAACCTTATTTGTCCTTATGGTGTATGGAAACCTTTGATCAACTCTCTCATTCTTCATTTATAAATCATTCAATTGTACTTTAATATCTTCAAATCTCACGCTTCTCTCTTGTTAACCTTGTACCATAGTGACCGAAATAAGATTTTTATTTGCAGAACTTTTGAAGCCAAAAAAGCAGCAGGTCCTCCGAAAACCTTTCATAAAACAGAGGCCGTGCAAAATCGATCTCATAGATTAATACATTGAAAAATGAAAAGAGTGATCTAGTGGCTTTCCTTTTGTTTGAAGTGAGAGTTAAATTTAGCTAGTTTTATCTAACTGCACGAGATTAATGTATCAACCTTAAATGTGGAGCCCTTTGAGCTTTAACTTAGACTGTCTCGCCTCGCCCTTACCTCATAGGAGCCATGAATGAGATTTAATGAGTTTTTTATCAGTAGTGGTCTTTTCATGAGAAGCACATTAGATGGGGTGACTCAATTTACAAAGCTTAGCGTTACTTAGCGTTACTTAGAGGAAAGTCAATGATTTTACTCTAAAGTCAATGATTTTAGCCCATGACCTCTAGTTCACAAGGTAAGCAACAACCTCTGAGCTCTAGGCTTCCCCTTTTCAAGAGAAGCATATACCAAGTGAAAATCTTGTTAAATGAACTCTATATTTAAAGCTTTGTTTTATTGCTCCGCAAATATAAGGAAGTGGGAGCCTCATGGATGCAATTATATTAGATGGAAAATTAAGAAGCACAAATAGTGTTTTTCCAAATGCCGAGAGCATATGAATGGTAAAAAACACATCTGATTCCCTGTTAATATTAAAGGCAATGTCGCAGATATTTTTTCTCACGATATGTTTTATTTGACAGTTGTTTTGAGTATGTTCTGTTGCAATGTTTCCCTATTTGTGCTTACAAGAATACCTTCTGATGGGGATATCAGAGTATGTTTCGTCGATCTACGGCCACGATCGAGTCGATGTATTTTTGAGTCGTTTTATGTATTTGTCTTTTATTATGTATTTTGCTTTTGTTATTTTTCACTTTTACCCTTTATTAAATGGAGGTCATGTGTAAGCCTCGAGGGCATTGTTGTCTTTACTTTTTGAGTGCTTTGTACGAGGCTATTTATAACCCTTATGTTTCTCTTTTCATGCCTAATGAATGACTGATAATTTTTTTCCTGTGCTTGATTTTTTTGTGAGATCTTGAGAGTGCTTGAGAGAGAAATTCCTAGGAGAGGGAATTCGGATCACTCAACAACCTTGGAGACGGTCGGGTTCGTGGTTCTTCTTCATTATCTCTTTGTCCTCCTTCTTTCCTCCTCTAGCCGCCGGCCCAAAGCCTTCCCGGACCCATAAGCCGCCGGCCACTTAACTCCCCACCACCATCCCCGCCTAGACCCCAACCCCACCCTCACCCACAGCCACATCCATCGCCGACCCACCTCTTGGCTCCTCCATCTCTATTTGCCACCAACTCTTTCCTAAATTATATTTCATATTTTTGGTAACTCTATTAATGATCAAATTCAAATTAATTTGAATTTGAAATAGTTGTCTAATTTATAATTCCTATTTTAGGAAACTTACTAAATCAATTCCTATTTAAATTTTAAATTAAGAGGGGATGAGATATTTCTTTCCAAACTTAATTTAATAATTTAAGCATTGAATGCCTCATTAAACTCCTCCCTCCCTCTATAGCCGCCGGCCCCCCTTATGATTTGAATGCATGGCCGATCCTGATCTTGATTACGACATTGCCTACGATGAGCAATGTTTCGTTCACATCATTAACTCTACTTTCTTCGATGTCAATCTGGATATCGATTACACTGTCGAGGAGTACGTGGAGCGCATTCTAGATACTCTCACCGAAGCCATAGAGCAACTTGGTGCCGTTCAATGGCGGATTACGTCCAAACCGTGACAAAGGTCTTCCAATCTTCCTACTCTTGTATTTTCATAGTTTAACCCTCTCTTGTGGTTTGATTTGATTCATGAATGTCTTGTTCCCATACCTCTGCCTAGCTTAGTAATCGTAGGAATTGAGTTTAGCTTTCTAATCTTCTAATCTCAATTTTAGCGTAGGGATTTTTTTGAAAGCTACTTAATTTGCATGCTATTGAAATTCTGCCGGCCACCTTCTCTTACCTTCTCCTACTTGGGTTCTTGAGAGAAAACCTCTCTCTTTCAAGGGAAAACGGCAAGGAAAACAAAGGACCACCTCCTACAACACTTCAACACAACTAGATCAATGCATGGCCGATCCCGATCTTGATTACGGCATTGCCTATGATGAGCAATGTTTCGTTCACATCATTCACTCTACTTTCTTCGATGTCAATCCGGATATCGATTACACTGTCGAGGAGTACGTGGAGCGCATTCTAGATACTCTCACTGAAGCCATAGAGCAACTTGGTGCCGTTCAATGGTGGATTACGTCCAAACCGTGACAAAGGTCTTCCAATCTTCCTACTCTTGTATTTTCATAGTTTAACCCTCTCTTGTGGTTTGATTTGATTCGTGAATGTCTTGTTCCCATACCTCTGCCTAGCTTAGTAATCGTAGGAATTGAGTTTAGCTTTCTATTCTTCTAATCTCAATTTTAGCATAGGGATTTTGTTGAAAGCTACTTAATTTGCATGCTATTGAAATTCTAAGTTGTTTTGATAATCCAAGTGTTTGACATGTAATTTGGCCAAAGCGTAGCCATCCCTCTTACATTTTCTTTTGTTGTTTTGATTGCTAATGTTTTTAATCTAAATTGTTTTATTCAAGAAATCGTGCAAGTTCTTACCACATACAATTAAGACATTGTAATTCTGCATCACCTTCTTGATACTACGAGTAGAAAGTTCTTTATTTTACACAAAAATAAAGTACTGTGCATAATAGTAAACCACGATTGCACTTGAGTTATGTATGAGATGCAAAGTTAATGTGAGTGATTTCCTCCCATTTCTAATTTGAAAATTTTGTTTGATGTTTTAATTACTAATCGAATCATGTGATTTAATTGGAATAGGAGCCACTCCCAAAGGTGTCCTTAGAGTAATGGGTGTATCAGGGCTAACTATATACCACGTAAAGAGTCACTTACAGGTACCAGGATTTTATGTCATCATTCTTCAATTTCAAGCTGTTATTCTGCTTCTTTATTTTTCCTAATGTTATTTCTATTGCATGCAGAAATATCGTTTAGCGAAGTACATCCCTGATTCGTCATCTGATGGTGAGGTTTATGTATTCTTGTTCAATTATGCTTACAATCCTTTGACTATGAATGCATATATCTTGTAGACATCCAATATAAACTTCTTTTCTTTGGTTTTCATTCATATAGGCTTAAAGGATGAAAGTAAAGAACCTGGCGATTTACTTTCTGGCATGGATAGCTCTTCGTAAGTATTACATCATTTTTATTCCTTTACAAACATATTAGCAGAAGCAGCCATTGATACACTCACAAATTACAACTCCCTCTCTCTCAAACAAGTCACATCTCTAGATCTCATTTCTTATCTTGAAATTTTTGTAACAATGTTAGATATCTTTTCTTTTGTCTGAGGTCCTTTTGTATATAAATTAACATGAAAATTTTGATATTATTCATTTATGTTATCATATCCGATGGTGAATTTTGTACTTCTATTCTTTCAGCTTGTTTGGTTTGTTTTAGAGTACTCTACATTGGATTTATTTTGTAAAAAGCGTAAATTATTACAAAGCTTTCTGCCACTTTTCTATTTCTTTGTAATGTTAGTTCTGTTGAAATATAAAATAAATCATGAAATAAAAAATAATGAAATGTAAATTTGGTTGTGATTTAAATTGCAGCAGATTAAGTTTGTAGATCCTTGAGCTTAATTTTCGTAGAGACAATGCTACAGTAGTCAAATGCCACTTCGGTGGGAAATAATTAGCATATAGAACATATACATCAAACAAATAACTCATCAATATGAGCACTCCTTGCAGGGCTCTTTTTTGTTCATATCGATTCTCATTTGCTTCAAGTTGTATTTGCTCATATTAGTGCAAATTGTGATAATGGGAAAACATGGATTATAAGTCATATCATAGCATTTTGATTGAATTTCAATTATATTTCTTTTATTAGTTTATGTATAGTAATTATTTATCTTTATTTTAATTTTTAGGGGCAGTGTGTTTTTTTTTTCATTTTAGGATAAATTTGATTGTTTAGACTTATCTCGCAGAATTTTATATTATAAATAGAGGTCCAAAGGCGAGGGATTATCATCATTGAATGAAATTTGATTCTTGGCATTGTTTCTCCCTCTCTTTGTATCAAGTTTTTTCTACCCCTTTTTCATCCCTTTTCTTCTTCTTCCTCTTTCCTCTTCTTCTTCAAAGGTTTTATAAATCATCCATTGTCTGGTCTCTACATGAGTGGTACAAAATCCCAACTTCATCCTAGGAATTATCGACGGAAACAAAACAAGATGATGATCTACACTATGATGAAGATTAGCATGAAAGCTTCCATAAGTTATTGTTGATATGCGCTTTTGATTTCCTCCCTAAAGTCATCGACCGCCATAATCAATGCATCCTTTTCAAGACCACTATGACTCATATATCCCTAACTACATTCCAAACTAAATTAACAACCCTAAACCCAAATCTAAAATCAAATGACCTCAAATCTAATTGGAACTCCTTTACTACCTATGCAAACTTGTAGCTCTAACAATTTCTGTCTCAAAGCCAAACCCCCTACTTGTGTGTAGATTTCTCTCTCCCGATCATATTAGTTCTAAATCCTTATAATCTTAATCCTCTCGACCCCACTAGCTAATCCAAAATTTAGAATTACCCAAACATTCAACTGAACCGAACTGCCTAACCTAGAACTAATATGAGCTATGAGGAAGAATATTATAAAAAATATATAATAACAGCGTTTGGTTCTTCTCCATCTACCCAACAGATCAACTTCTACTTAGAACAAATTGCTGATAGTTGATGCAGCTTGGTTCATGAATTTTGGAATAAAGAATAGATTTTCTGAGATGCTTGATTGTATCGAGTGGTTTTATAGATAGATTTTTCTATGAACATGCTACAAATGATGTTTATCTTTTTGGTCTCCTTTTAAAGGAAAGTGGATTCTTCATCTCTTGTACCTTGGGATGGATTCCCCTTCTCTTCTTATTTAAGATGTCTTTCCATTGGAATGGATTTCATTATTTTTCTTTCACCCTTCTCTACCCAACACAAAAATATTGCACAATTTCTTTCGTAAAGTGCTTCACATTGTGCCTTACTGATACTTGATCGAAAATTGTTATTTTAAGCAACTTCTATCAATGGCACATATGATTCTCAGCCTCTACCAAAATGAAGAATGCATAAATGAACATTTGTCCCTTCTTAGATTTGCAAAGAATATGTTTCACTTTAAACAACACTTAACATGAATGAATGAAAATTTTAGATTCATAACGTTGACCCAAATAGTTTGAATAATGCTAATGTTGATGATAATAATGATTCCCTTCTTGAAAATTTTTATTTTCTTTCTTTTGATGCATAAAACTCAACATTTGATTAATTGACAGACTACATGATGAAACTTTATGCCATCAATAAAAAAATTTTGTGTCAGCTATCTTGGATGCAAACTTGGACAAGTTCTACACAGGCCTGGCAAATAGCCTTGTTTCGACTTGACACAACCTGATAATGAACTACTTTTGAATGTAAATGAACCTATTGATTGCTATACAAATAAAGTCCATTTAATAAATTGAAATTCATATTACACATAATAAAATAGGATTTCAATGTACTTTTAATATAGATTCCTATGCCCGCGAATTAGGATGGACCTTTAATTGTATTAGTCTAGACAAACTACGCATTTCTGGTTGTCGAGCTTGTGGCCCCACTCTCCGACACTTTTTTTTTTTACTTTGTTTAATTGACCTCCCTGAAACGCTCACTTATTCAATCAAGAACATTCTAATCTTTTCCCTTTTTCCTGACCAGTGGAGTTCAGATAACTGAAGCTCTAAAATTGCAGATGGAGGTCCAAAAGCGACTACATGAGCAATTAGAGGCAAGTTCTCTCTTAAATATAACATTACATTCTGCATGTATGGTGTAGAACTAATATAGTTTTGTGCTTGCTGTTAGTTTCAAAATTCACCTTTACAAAAGTTTTTCCATATAATTCAATGGAAAAGGGAAATAAAGGAATATTCTGATTTTAAAAATGGATGGTTTTCAACATATAGCAATCATGATGCCTACAAAGGTATGTTTAATTCTTTGATAATAGTGAAGTGAGAGAAATATGAAATTATAAAATTTAATGTCTAAATCCTCTTGCACTCAGATGTCAGAGTGTCAATATAAGGAAGGACTATACAACCGATATAAATGTGGCAACAATATTGTTTATTTTATTTTATGAACTTTGGTTTGTTTGGTCTTAAAGATCTTTTTTTTTTCATCTTTCCTTTGATTGCTCAACATAGAAATCGGGAGAAGCAAGAGTCATCTTTTTTCATCACATGATAGTTATATTAATTATGGCAAGTGCACTTGAATTTATTTATTTTGGTTAGAAATCTAAAGTATTAGATGTTTTTCGGAAATTTATTACCTATATTAAAACTCAATTCTCATAAAAAATCTAAGTGATAAGATCCAACTTTGGGGATGAATATATGCCAACTTTATGACCTTCATAAAAGAGGAATATTTTTCTACCTGACATCCCCCTATACACCTCAACAAAATTGTGTTATTGAACAAAAGATTTAGCACGTGTTAGTTGTTTAAATTTTGTAACTAGATTATTCCATTTCACCTAAATTTTGTGTTGAAGAATTGAGTATGATAGTCTTTTTAATTAATAGATCACCTTCTCTTATTTTCACATTTGACTCTCCATAGTATTGTCCCTTTTAGAAGCATCCCAACTTCCATGATATAAATATTTGATTTTATTTTTTTTGTTCATCTACCCTCTCATGAATGTTATAAACTCTCTCCTTAGTCTATTAAATGTACATTCATGGGCTTATCATTTCTTTCAAAAGGTATGTTTTTTATAATTCATGCTTTAAAAGATTTTGCATGTCTCATCATATTGTCTTCTTTGAGCATCAGTATTCTTTTACTACTCATGTTGAGCCTTTAGTTGGGATATATGTCTTACCTAATTTTGATGAATTAAATTGTAATCCTGAACAATTTAAAATTCGATTCGTGTAGGAAATAAAACGTCCAACTTTATCACTTTTTAAGCCAAATATGTAATCTAAGCTTATTCAAATTGATCTATCACCTGAGACCATCTGCTCAAATTCATTCACTTCTCCTAGATGGTCTTCAAGGATCTCTCATTCACAAAATCAGTATGAATTTTACATTACATTAACCTCGATTTCCATTCATATGGACCATGCTGAGTCTACTAAATATGACTATTGGAAGTAGGCTATAGTTGAAGAACTTTGAACTCTTAAAGATAATCATATGTGGTAGATTGTTTAATGTCCTCAAAATGTTAAAGCAATCGACCGTAAATGGGATTACTCGATCATGCTTCACTCTAATGGTACCTGGATCGTTATAAGTCCCATTCAGTTGTCCTTGGTAATAAGCATGGGCGGATCAACCAAGGGCTTAGGGTGGGCAAATGCCCGCTAAAAAAAAACTTTATAAATATTTAGAGGCGATATTTTGGAATATTTTGGGTATTTTAGGCATTTTGCCCCCCCTCAAAAATATTTTTTGCCCACTTTTATCAATCCTAAGCGTCTTTTTGCCCATTCCCCACAAAAAAAAATTTTATTTGCCCACCCTAAAAAAAGTTGGATTCGCCCCTGGTAATAAGCAAGAATATGAGATTGGCTATGGAAAAAAAATTTCTCCTATGGCTAAAATGACCGTAGCATTAATAATTATCTTAAGTGCTTCTTCAAAAGGATGGTCAATCCATCAAATAGATTTTAAAAATATTTTTTTCTTCATTGCGATCTCAAGAAGATCTATGTGGTTCTTCCTTCTAGTATCTCTAGCTCTTCTTCTTTGGATGTTTTTAAGCTCAAATATTTTTTATGTGGTTTGAAACAAGCCCCCGTGTGTGGTTTAATAATTTTTGGCCAGTCCTACTTTATTTCCCATTTTAACAGAGCTAAAATGGCTCGTCATTATTTATTTGCAACACATCCAGTGGTATTGCTCTTCTCTTGATTTATATTGTTGATATTGTTATACTAAGATTTTTAGATTTGATTAATCATTTGTGACACATTTTCTTATCAAATTTCATATGAAAATCTTTGTGCTCTCGCTTCGTAGGTTTGAAAGTTCACACAAATCCCTCAAGTATTTTCTTGAACCAACATAAGTAAACATATTATTTGATTAGTTTTGCTGGCCTTCAAAATACTTTCTCTCTGAATACTCCATTATAAGCAAACAAAAAGTATCATGGTGACAGAGGTGATCTTATCCTTGATTCTATTGTATTTCAACAAATAGTAGGCGGTTTAAACACACAAAACGTACTGAAGTTGATTGTCAGTCAATTTAGGAAGCCTTCGGCTATCATATTATTTTTCTTTTTCATATTTCTGAACTATTCAGACTGCACACATATTTGTAAAGGCTTTGACATGACCACAATATCAATTCCTTGTAGATAAATGGATGCTTTTTAAAAAATAATATCAATTTGAAGGGAGTGATCAATTTACTGGCTGATATATTATTACTTACGGTTTATTTGGTTTTCAAAATTGAGATACAAATCCACATATCAATGGGCGAATCATGAAACAAAATTTCCATATTTTTTAGATTGGTCATTGATTTTCAGATTGGCTTGAAATAACATTGTTGAATGTGCCATATTTTTTTATTGATTTATACTATTTTTCTGAATCTATTTTGCAGCTTCAATTATTTTTTTTAACTACTTGATTACGATTTACTGTACTTTACCTGAAGTGTTTAACTACTTTCCTGCAGATACGTTTATTACTCGTTAGTTAATAAAAGCCTCTACGAAAGTGTTTAAATTTCTGTTACCATCAAAAGTTAACGTGCTACTTTTATCACGTTATACAGATCATCACAACTAAAATCATTGAAGCTCTTGTTTGCTTAGGACATGGTATATGTTTCATGACAAAATTATAAAAAATTGCATCTTCAATGATAAAATTCATCCAAATTTAGAACAATATTGATAGTAAAGACCTACATTAACATCTAAAGCAAATCTTGCCTTTCTATTTTTATAAGGTTTTGATTTATGCTTTGAGTGCCCCTTCTCAACAAGCGTTCTCCCAAAATCAACCAATAATTGGATCTACATATTCTCTATATCTCATTAATGATCAGCTGTTGTGTTCTCTGCTGTGTTAGTACATTATATATGATTGTATTTTCAGCTAGATAGATCTCGTCTATTGTATTTTAATTTTAATTCCATGAAGAGATCTTCAACTAAACAAGCTTTTGAAACTTCTATAGGTACAAAGGCAACTGCAGTTAAGGATAGAAGCCCAGGGAAAATATCTGAAGAAAATCATGGAGGAACAACAAAGGCTTAATGGAGTACTGGCTGAGACACCAGGAATGAACCTCCCACCTCTACCAACTTCAGCCGACTTTTGCCTCGACTCCGACCCTTCAACTCCTGCACCAATATGCGAGTCGCTTCATAAGGACAAAACCTCTAATGGCAAGCACGGAAAGGCCGACAGCCTCGTTAAGAGTACCTCATTTGAAGATTCCTCTCGCCGGGAACCATTGACTCCAGACTCGAGCTTCCATACCTCTGAAAGCCTGAAACATGAGAGGCCGAGTAAGAGGCAAAGAAGCAATGGCAGCGGAGTGCGTGGAAGCGGACAGGTTGATTTGGTACTAGGCAACCATATACTTGAATCAAGCTCAGGTTCCGAATTCCAGCAACAATGCTCTATGTTCAATGCTGGAACTCACTTTGATTCTTCAGGCACTTCTTTTGGTGATGATGACCAGTTTGGGAATGGTTCTGGGAGTGATGTTTGATGAAGAAGGAGAGTTTGAAAGCCTGTAGCTTATTTTTCCTTAATTTCTTGGAGGTATCTAAATGTGTGATTAGGGTTTGAGATGCAATTCTTTAGATTTCTTAGCTGGGGATCAGAAGTTTGAGAAGATTCTAAGTGGTAAATGAGTGGTGATTTGAAGCAGAGCACTTTGCACGGAGCATTGAAAGAATCACTTCTTCAACTATCTGTAACACCATCTTTCTTTTTTTTTTTTTCCTCAACAATACTCTGATTCTCTTGTAATAGAATGCTTCTGGGATATTTAGTAATATTGTTGCTATATTTAGTTGGGATTTTATGCTCTTTTTTATGGCGATGAGCACTTGTAAGTTTTGTTTGAGATAATTTTTTTGCCGTTTTCTAAAACAAATTTCTATTATAAAAAATTTTCTAGAAATTTTTGTACTAAAAAATTATTTTAAAAAATATTAAGAAAGCTGCCCTAAATAATATATATATAATAATGTTATAAGCATGTTAGTATATATTTTTTGATATTCTCAAAATTTTCATGTATGTTGATGGCCCTATTTTATATTTAGGGTGTTTTAGAACCATATGAATCAATTAAAAATGTTGGATGTTTGAATTAATATAAAGTCTGGATGCTTAAATTAGGGCAGATTCCCCTCTTCAAAGTATTTTTTTCCCTATTCAAAGTATATAATATGCATTATTTTTTGCATATTGATAGATTTTGGTACATAATTCCTTAATGAATTTAAAATTTTCTATAACCAGTTATTATTGCATTTTCTTTGTCAAACCTTCTTTGTCACCTTGAATTGCCTACTTTGCCCTTATTTCATGAGTCCTCAGATGTTGAGGATTAGGGCATCTCCAACCGAAAAACTCATTTTCCACTTCAAAACATGATAAAACTCCAAAATGCAATAATTCTTCTCCAATTGAATTCCATTTCAATTTTCTTTTTCACATACTTCTTCATCTTGCTGCAAAAGTAATCATCTTTCTCCCCTTTCGTGCGATTCTTCGGCAATTCTCATGTAATATCCAAAATTTTTAGGTATGAAATTTTAATTTAAATTAATTAAGTAATTATATTCTAAAAATTTATTTGAAAGTTTAAGGTTAAATGGTTGTTAAATTAGTAGTAATTAGTTAAAATAATAATATTACTCATGAGTATTTTGGGGTATTAAATGAAATCAAGCAAAGCATAATAGGCATCCTTTGGCGTCACCCTTTCACGTTAACAGGATAAGATTTAGTTTCAGTTATTTGCTGACGTGAGAAACTGAAGATTTAAAGTGGCTCTGCTCTTGGGAATTTCGGGGAAGTGGCTTTGCTAGGGAGCGACTCTACTAGGGAAATTTCTTCAGCATTAGAAGCAAATAATTCCAATATTGTTTTTCTTTCATTGGGGACACCAAATCGAATTCCTGTAGAATGATTCGGCCAATGCAGAAAAGGGAAATTTCAGAAATGAATGCTGTATGAGATGGCACAGTGCATTTCTGTAGTAGAAAATCATAGCAGTGCAAGAATCACTGTGGGAAGAGCAACATAGTGTTTCAAACACTGAAGCAAGAGGCGAAATTGCTGGAGTGTGGCAACAGAATTTTCTGTAAACATTCCAGCCTCCATCCGACAGCATAATAGTGTAGTATAGGAGAATAGAAAGGAATTTAACAAGAGGAATTCAGCGCTGCTTATGAAAGAGGATTTCGTTGTACAGTGAAGGAAGATTAAACAGTTAGATTGGAAGAGGAAGGAATAATATAGAAGTGAAGGAAATAAAGAAGGATTATTCGCACATTTATGCAAAAAAAGAGGATATTGTGTTAGTGTATCAAAGGAAAAGGTTACATGGTGTAGGTTTGGAAGAGACCATTCAAGCAAGTAAGTTATGTAAAGTTAATTACTGATTTTTTTTTATATTTATTAAGTCTTTTCACTAGTTTGAAAATTTCAATGCATTATGAATACTTGTATGGTAAACAAATGTATTTTATGTGGAAAGTGAAATTGATATTTGATCAAGCATGCTATTTCAATCTTTTTGATAATATGTTAAAGAAAGAAGTATACACTTGTTAGATAATGCATGTCAAACTCTACTTACCACACTTGTACGGATATATAAGTGGTAACATATATGAATTATGAATATAAGAGTTATTGAATATTTATTTAAAAGATTGGCTATATTATGGTATGATATCTACGTTATCAGGTGGGCAAAAGGGACCCAATATGAAACCTGAATTGTAGATGGGGCAAAAGGGACCCCAAGGAAATGGATACCTGCATAGCAGGTGGGGCAAAAGGGACCCCTAAAGAGGCAAAAGGGACTCTATGAAATTTAATGGTGATAATGCCAGGTTTACTTGGGCTCCATTGAATATGTTAAGGTATAGCCAAATCTTTCAGAAGTTTAAATATTCAGTATCTAACTCAATGACATAAAAGATAATGTTCAATATGATGTTTTTGATGCTTTACAAATAATGATAAGTTGATGCAATGATTAGCTCAATATTGTATTTCATTTTATCAATTCATTTTTATTGTTATTTAATTTTGCATAGCTTATTTGAGCCTCATAGCTCACCAGTATTTTATTACTGGCTGTTGTTACAGGTAAAGGAAAACAAAAAGTGGGAGAAGATTAGTTTGCAAGTAATTACATTTATGTTAATGTTTAATGTATGTTTGAAGTTGACTATTGAGGTTAGTAAGTAGTTTAAATGTTGTATTACTTTGAAATTATTTGAATTTCCTTAGTGGCTCTGTATCAAGTCAGTGATAAAACTTGGGAATTATTAGATGCTTTATTTGTTGTATTAAATGATGTTTATATGATCTTTTATATGGATCTTGAATGAAATGAAATGGAATGAGAAATTAAGGATGAAAATGTTATGGTTATTCTTGTTACACTCTATAATACTATGATGGAGTATTGTGGGGTGTTACATCTCATAACACAAAAAATTGACGTAAATGAATAATGCAACTTCAATATTGACGTCACACTGTTCACCTACCAAATTTTGATGTGCAATTTAACATTCGAATGGAGCAAATGGTATATGGGATATCACCCTATGCATTTCGATTGGAGATGATCTTATCACAATGATTACTCTGATGATTTTAATTTCTAAAATTATCTTAATGTTTTTTCATGCCCGATAATTACTACCCTTCATTTGGGATAATTTTCTTACTGTCTTCTTACTATTTTCTAATATAAATTAAAAAATTATTTTAAAAATTAACAAAAAAAAAACTGTCACAAATAAAATCTAAATCATTATACAAATTAATGAAAATCAACTCAGATAATTTTTCATCTATGAATATCTCAAAGTCCAAAGATAAAATAAAGTGCTAGATGCAAACAATAAAATCAATTGAAAAATTCAACTTCCATAAAAGCAAATGACATAATAAAATTCTCTAACAGTACATTACAAAGAAGATATATTTGCAAAAAAAAAAAAAATTACAAATTACATTTTCACCTGATGTTCCTGCAATTAGACTGCCTGGTATACTGCAATACCAAAATCTAGACAGCAAATTAATAAGAACTAAAGACACCAACATACCAATAAGATCAACATAAAAGAAAGGTCTTAACAATAACAAATGCCTTACAGTCTTCAAAGTTCAAATGTCTTCCCTAAAGAGGCCAACTGAAACTCATCTCAACCCATAATGCTTCAAAGAAACTTTATCTGCTACAAGAAAACTCAGAAAGATCAGATCAACCTCGTTTGGGTTAGTAATCCCTCAGCTGAATGAGTTGCATATTTGTAAGGCCTCAAAAAGGAAACAAGTACTGATTTCAATCAAATTATGTAATTTTTTCACTTTTTTCTACACTGTCAAGTAGAATGATTGCGCTTGTGATTGAACCGTCCAAGAAGACAGAGGCGCAAGCGTTGACGAAATAATGCCTCGGCCCTGTCTAATTTACCCCAGCGCTTCGATTTTTTCAATCCCGGCGCATCATTCTTGTTCTTCTTCTCCTTTGGTTTGGGTGATTTGCGATGGATTTTTCTGAGAGGTGTAGCAAGTGCTTTCAGCATAATCTGTTTGGACAAAAAAAAAAAAAAAAATGTTAAACCAATGGAATGGGCGATCCACAAACTTCCAGCCGAATACAACAACAACAACATCAAGCCTTTATCCCACTACTTGGGGTCGGCTACATGAATCATTTTTCTCCATTGTGTCATACTAAAAGTCAAATTCTCGTTTCAATATAATAAAGAAAAATCATTTCTAACATTTTCTAACCAAGTCTTTTTAGGTCTGCCTCTACCTTTCTTAACATAAGTCAAATCTAATACTTCTACTTTCCTAACCGGGTCCTGGATGAGAAAAGTAGAGGATTGTGTTAGATAGTCGACATCTAGCATAAAACTTGTCGAATAATAATGACATGATTTCTTTAAGAAACTTCCAGCTGAATAAAAAAAATTATTTAAACTAAGGCTTTGTTGGGACGGCTTTCTTACTGCTTCTTAAAGTAGCATTTTAGTATAAAATTTTTAATTTTTATACTAGAAAGTTGCTTTAAGCAAGTTGTCCCAAACGAAACCTAAATATTCACCAGTTTCTATCTATTATACATGTGCACGTGCATATACATATATATATATACACACACACACAAATACATAAATATATTTTGATAATAAGACATTTAAATGAAAGATCAAACCCATCCATTCCTTAACATCATCAACCGGTTCAATGCATGATTTCAAAATGAATGACTCTGATTGCATGAAATGATAATTGAGATTTCAAAGGGTAGACAAGTTCAAATGTATTTAAAACTAATAATACATGAATTGTTGATGATACATTGTATTATATGAGATGATTTTGATTTATGAAACATATGATTAAAACGAGATTTTTAAGAGAATTTTTATGTCATCCAAACAGACTTGTATTTTTTAACATGCTTGATGAATATTAAACAATCATATTAATTATTAACCACAGTTCACATGTAATTGTTATTTTGTAGACCAACCAATAATATAAACTTGGGTTAGAAGATTATATAAAGTGGCAGATGTAGAAATTAAACTAAAAGGGAAAAAAAATCATTCTACTCTTTCTCTCTCTCCATAGATAGCACTATCCTTCAGTGTGAATAGAGATAATTTTTTTATTCTATTTTATTTTTGCTCATTTTTAAGTTATACAAAATTCAATTGAAAAATCAAAACCATCGATCTTAATCAACACCATAAAAAGTAATAGGATGCCAATTTTATGAAATTTGAATATGATTTGTCCATGCAAGGCGGCACGCGCTCGTGTGCATACATATCTTTGTAGATATATTAACATAATCGAGCCAAAATGAAGCTGAATATGATCATGCTAGAGAGCTAGTCAGTAAAAGAGCTTGTAAAATAAACCAATATAAACTAATTATGGGACTGAGAGAGCCAAATTGAAGTCCCTATATATGTAACATGTAACACAGTAAACACAAGCTATGCCTGGAAGGGAGAAAATCGAGAAGAAAGTAAGAAAGATGAGGAGGGTTATAGGAAGCAAAGCCGGGCAGTAAATGAGTGAAAAACAAGAATATTAGAATGACAGAAAGAAGGAAAAATTATTCTGTCCGGATTCCAGTCCCTAATGAAAATGCGCCATGTCCCATACTGAGATCATACCGAGCAATACTCGGTACGGCTTGGTACCTGAGAGTGAACCGGACGGTTCTCCCGTGCGGTGTCCGCACAGAATAATCTCTCCAGAAGAAGGGGGAGTGAAAAGGATATCAGGGTTGCTAGGGGAGTAGATACCTGATGTCTGCGGCTGGGATTTTCAGTACATTCACCAGAGGATGAACCTACACTAACTAAACCTAGAGAAGAGCATCTACCAAGGCTTTCCCTGTTGGAGCTTGAGCACGTGTGAGATTCCTCATCCAGCCCATTTTGTTTATCCTAGATAGGTAAAAGTGGCAGGGTCAGAAAGGATGCATAACAAATACAAGCAACAAATGATAATAAGATTTTTTTTGCTTAAACTGCTTACCTGTAAATGAGTTTCATATGCATTATTACCGTCTATCTCAGCAACAGTACTATGCTCAAGAAGAAAATCCTGCGTATCAGAAGGCAAAGTAACCTGTTTCTAAAGAACTGCTAAATGGAAAAACAGAAAAACAAATAAACAAATAGAAGGACATACGACGTCGTCATCAATCATAGAAATCTGGGATACACTTTCAGAAAGCAGTTCGACTACAGATTTTGAATGTGGACCTACATAGATAGCATGCATGCAATTTAGCTTGTTAAAAAAAGCAACTGAATCGCAGGCTCTCCTATTTCATCAAAATCAGCCATCACCTTTTGGAAGAGCAGGTGCTGCAGATGAAGAGCTTGCTGATTCATTTCCAGCAGCACGAAGCCCAGAGAGGATCTGATATAATACATTCTGGAGAAAAAAAAACATAAGATGTTTTAACGCAATAGGCACTTTAATTAGAATATCTTCTTCTTTTTATAATAAATAAGCCAATTCAAACTCGTATAAATTAGCTCAAACTCAATTAATTGGTCAAAAGCTCAAGTTACTTGTGGATCGAGTTGGAGTTAACGCATTTATACTACATGCAACTTCTCATGAACTATAAGATGAATGACGTTCATTTGTGCGTGAGTAAAAATAAACAAAAATAAAATCATATGAAACAAATCTCTATCCATATGGTAAAGTGCTATGATTAAAAAAGAGAAAAACGTCAAAAAAAAAAATAAACTAGCTATTCCTAATGATACAGGAATATATAGTTAAAGATCACCTCATCCGAATTGGCTTCAACTGGTAGATCTCCCAAATCATAGTACTTTTCTAGTTTACTTGAAAACTCAGCAGGAATCTGAGGGGGATGAAGAACATTGTAGAAAAAAATTGAAACGGAATCGTAGTAAAATTGTGGCCTCGGAGAGTTGTGATCACCATCAAATTTGATTATGTTCCTATCACCCTGCAAAATGATGGATGGAAAAGAAACATAAATTTCAAATACTTCGAATGACTAAAAATAAAGAGCAACTACAAGCTGCTACGCTCAATCAAAAGTGTAAATGTTTAATGAATATATTGATCGTTATTATGGTGAAAGCAATGGGAAAAGAATCCATACTGCATACGACTGGTAAATGAGGTCAGTGTGATGCGGCTGAATAAATATGTCCTCTGAAGCATGTCCAAATAATGCTGGAATAAAGGTCTTTGGTGCGTACTGTAGATTCAATTGGATACAATAGTAAAAAAATTGTTTAGTTTCTGCCATAAAAGTGACAGCTCAGAAAAAAATATTTTTTAGGTTCAGACCTGTACAACATTAAGATCCCTGATGTCAAATTTTGCTTTTCTCTGGATTACACGCCGCATATATTGAACGGCCATTTTGACCTAGTGCAACAAATGTGACAACTTTTTTAACCATATAATGATCACAACGTTTAGATATGTTACTGCAGAGAAAATGCATGCTTAAAACACAGATCATCAAAAACCTATGACTTCTGTAAAAAAGCATGTTTTCAGAATGATGAATATGCTCCCTGCTAGCCACGTTTTTATTCAAAAATTAGTAATCTATGGTTCTACCCTATGTGTTAAAAAAAATGAAAAATAAACTAAAATAGTTTCAGAAATTTTACTTAGTTGCAGCAATTACGGGTTACACTTACTGATTCATGTGAGCTGTATTCTATTTATTTGCCTGTAAAAAGGAATTTCAAGATGGAGTCTCTTTACAGCCATTTCAAGTTAGTGCCCCGACAGTTTAAATTATTCTCTTCAAGCATTCCATATATTTCTATTGTGTCCTAGGGAGATTCTTTAGCACTCTCATTATTTTCAGAACCTAAACATTAATTCCTGAGTCATCCCTGCTTGCATCTCATATGAGAGGGCTGAATTCATTTGGTAAGTGTGAAGGCTAGTGATGCCGTAGGAGATGGGATGACGCAAGCAGTTGAGATGCAGAATTCCTGTGTGCATATTTCAGATTTTCAGGCTCGACATTAGGGTTTCAGTGGGTTTCAGGGAATGTAATGGGACATGTTTTAGGCTAGATCCGCAGCAAGCTGTAAGGTTAGTTATGGGAAAATCTGTAGGGTTTTCAGTGCTTTGTTAATAGCAGTTTTCAAACAGACTTGGGGAATAATCTTGTTGTGTAATTGAGACAAGGTATGGGTTCTGGAGTAGAAGAAGAAAGAAGAGATAACCAAAGCGAAAAAGTAAGGAAAGGAACAAAAAATGAGAGAGCAAGAAACAGAGAACAAGCAAGGAATAGAGAGGAAGAAGAGTATCGCCATACATAGAGAGCGCATAAGAGAGAGAATCATAAAGTGTTTTACCAAGAGGGAAAAAAGGACTTGCTGTAGTAATCTTATCCAATACTAATTAAATGAATAATAGTAAGCCTTAGAGTTAACGAGAATATTTCAATTCCACTCTGACAAGCACGATCACAATAGAATATGCTTGAGAATTTGCAGAATAAAAGTAAATATGAATCAAGCTACCAGTAAGAATGAGAACGCAACATCTCACAACAGGAACACATGAATATTTAAGTGGTTTGGAATTATAATCCTTAGTGTTCCCACGAATCTGTCTTTTATGGACCCTATCATAAAATATTACTAGAGTTACAAAGAGATGTAAATTGAATCATTGCTATCATTAACAAGTAGAAGCTATATTATCTAAAAGGATGCAAATGAAAATGATGAATCCCGAATAATCATTTTGCTTTGAATGTTGATCAACTAGAACTTATTAAACCGATGTAGAGGAATTAGTCTAGATTCGCTGCATCTTTAGTAGAATTTGAATATCAAGAAATCTAGCTCACCAAATGTATCTGTAATGGTACCTACTTAATTGTCTCGGCTAAAACATGACTGGCTCTAATTTGATCATCAAAGTTACAATTTGATTTGGTTTATATTCCTCCTTCATTATGGAAACCTACAAATATATAGATTTTCAAAATGTTCCTAATGTGATTATTCATCTTGAAATCAGGTCTTTTACCTTCGATCGTTTTTCATGTTTCTTTTCATTTAAATAATGTCTAATAAGAGATCACGCCCCTCCCCGTTTAATTCCTCTATAAAAAAATGGAAGGCGGATCAAGATGTATGAATTATAAATCTAGAGATTTTTGAAGATGTTAAGGGGATTAATAAGAGCAAGTAGATAGATCAAGTAATTAGAATAAGATTGTAGTTAGATGACCTCTTTTGTCCCAATTCAAGCCTGTTAGGGTACTTCAACCCATCATTGGCTCAGATAAAGAATTGATTTGTCCACCCCTTGTATGAAGTCAACAACCCATCAATGATTACTAGTGAGGGATGATGAGAAACAATGAAGCAAAATGAATTCATCATTCCAATCTTAAATAAGGAAATAAATTGTTATAACAACTAAGGTGTCGAGTGGATCTAGAACATAATATTCAAACTATGATCAAGAATGCATTTAGTGTTAATTAAGCTATGTGAAAGGTAATAAAAAGTTATATCAGTTGATCCGAGAATGATAAAGTAAGACCACAAAAACTCTAAAGAAAAATACATCTCCCCTTCTGGGAAAGTTGTATAACCCTTTGGTATTATGCACTCCTTGTAGTTCCAACTTACTATGTTTTTAAGGGCCTACTATGATGATACTGAGGATCTGTAGGTCAAGGGCAGCAAAACAAAAGGTCTATTCTCTCTTAGATCATAAGTCAAAATTGCCTTATTAGTATGGTAAATGGTCCCTAAAGATTGCAAGGTAGAAATAGTAATCATCATTACTGTTTCCGTGATAGAAACAAAGGGTTTTTCCTTATAAATTAAAAAAACTAAAAGAGGGCCCTCTTAATTTCTCAACGCAAGTAGAGGTGCTTCGTAATTAGGTGGTCCAAGTCTTACTAGGCATTTCTGAGCTAAGCCTAAAGATTTTTGTAAAACGGATGTATTTGGTTTTTTTTTTCTAAATAAATAATGAAAATAATATGCTTACGAAAATACAATATTTTATTCGATTTTAATAGTATTGCGTCCAAGAACTAGAGGGTGGAACTACACCATAACAAATTTTTGTAACAAATGATATTATGAACAACACCTGTATATTATTGTACGCATAGAATTGATACAATCAAATTGTGAAATTTGAGATTTTCTGGCAAATAACCACATCTTCTGTTTAAGGCGGCAATCTAGAGAAAAACTGGTGCCTAATTATATCGTAAGTTTTAAACTTAGGCCTTGAAAGGAATCAATTGAGTAAAAGATAAAAGATAGACAGAAAAGACAAAATTTAAATATTAAAAACTATTGCCAATAGTAACCTACATAAGTTTATCGCACAAGAAAGCTACAATTTTTATCCATGATTAGTCAAAATAACCAAAATGCCAACTGATGAACATTGTTTTCCAAGGTTGTAGGGAGGATAAAATACAACAAGATAAAGCAGCAAGCTGTTCATCAAGCATACACATGATAGTAAATACTTGAGTTCGCAAGTAACCCTAAGGTAATACTTGAGTTCGCAAGCAATCCTTTCACCAAACCAAGAGCAAACAGCAGGAAATTTGCTGTCCACAGCAGGAAAACAGCACAACCACAAAGAAATCTGAGAGAAACTCAGTATAAATCGTAGGGAAACGAAACAAACACTTTTATTTCAATAGAAGATGAAAAAGCACTTGCAAGATACAACTTTCCTTCAATTCGAGAGGAAGGAAAAACTCTCCAATGATCTCCGGCCAAGCCAAGAGCCCAAGAACACCAAACCCTAGATCTCAAAATAATTCAAATTCAAGATAACTCTAAAACTAACATTCATCCCGAATTAAAGCAAAAGGATTCTAGCAAAATACCCAAACAGCCCTTAACATTCAAAATTTTCCCTCCTAACATCACCCAAACCCACGTGGCTTTTCTCTAAATCCCGCTCCCCACCTGCTCTCTTCCGCCTGGAGTAACAGATGACCGGTCTGGGTTGGACCGGTCCAGCCGGCCCCTCCTGGGCCGGCGTAACAACACACCAGGTAAATTTAACTCAATTTACTCTACTTATGATACTAATATCAAACTGCTAATGGGTGATCTCATGAGAAAAAGGCTTAAAAAAGTAATTATGAAAAACATAATTGCACCACCTATAAGAGAGAAATTACCAACTACATTAATCATAAAACTACGATCATTCTTTGGATACAATTTGATATGTTTTAATATTAACAGAACTTTTACATCCTTCAAGATTTTAGGTCAAAATAGGGGAAAATACATGGAATAAGAAAAAAAAAATTAAGAATGCCTATTCTAATGATCAACTGTACCGTAAATTTAGGAAGCCTGATTTTGTAAACGTCAACGAGCTCCATCATGAGATTATACAAGTTTGAGAAAGCACTATCCAACACCATGCCAGCAATTGACGGATCCTCTGCTCCATATAATAAGCTGCATAAGATTGATAGTATACAGCATAAACCCTAGGAAAGGCCAAAAGGAAATCCTCTCAAGAATCAAATCTTGAGAATTATTCAACAATATCAATGGAGGAAAATTATCCAAGAACATTAGCGGTCAGGTTCCTCAATCCACGATCTGACATAGTGATGTTAAGCAAGACATTTATCAAATCATGCTTGTATTTGGGCCTCTAATAAAGAGTACAGCGCTATAATTCTTCACAAGGTATAGATAAGAACAAATAAGAGAAAGCAAGCGTGACCTCAAGAAAAATTTAAACGTTGCTATTGAGCAGGTCTATTCAATCTTTACGGAAACAAAAAATAAATTATTTGGCTTCATAAACAAGAACTAGGAGTGGTACATGCTTCTATTTTGGAATCTAATAAAGACTATAGCACTATAATGCTACACGAGATTAGAGAAGAACAAAAAAGAGAAAGCAAGCAGTACCTCAAGTATAATTTAAACATATATATATATATATATATAATCCTTGCATTGCCTTTCTCATAACTTAAAAATTGTAATAACATGAACCATGTACAGTTTGTTCTATTTCAATTCCCGACACACATCACAATTTGTAGAAGCAAACACAAGAAATATAAGATGAATTTCAAGTCCTAGAAAAGAATTGTACATAATTGAGATTTTAATGATATTCTTGCCCAAAGCCATGGGAAAGAAAGATGGCATAGAAAATTTTAATGCGAAGTACACTTTCCAATTAGCTGTTGACATATCCTTAAAAATGGGCAAGGTTTTTTTTTGTTTGTCAGCAATTTTGACCAAAGCCATAGGGCACAAGAATGGTGATGTTGTAACTTCCTCCCAAATTCCTATGACTTTCTTTTCTTGCTTTTATAGCTCCCTCTGATTGCTTGGCTGGGTTCATTCAGTTAATTCTACGATTCTTCTAGCAAGATTGCTGCTAATCCATTGGGATTATTTTAGTTGTGGCTATTTAATGGGATTGATGTTATTACAGATACTCCGGCTGTAGCTGTTTGCAATTCCTCGGATCGTGGATATAGATTCTACTGCAAGCGTAAGCAGTTATTATCTCACTTTGTAGCAGCAGGTTCGATGATCCTTTGTGGATATGATTACTATGGTCTTCTGAACGCTTATTTCTTGGACGTTTTATCCTATCATATTTGGTACTTATAAATACGTTTATCTGACACATGTCAAATATAATTGTATAGTTTAATAAATAAAATAGAATGCAACCAATTTGTGATATAAAAAATAGGATTTGATTTTACTGCCAAACTTCAAATTTCTTCTCTATGCGGCTTGGGTCTTGAGAACCCCCTTTTATTTTATCCGGTGAACGTACGCTCCTCTACGTTTGGTTGTAGGTAAAAAAAGCGCAATACCGAGTACCGAGTTTTTTGAGTTTTTTCAAAAAACTCGGTATTGCACTGTTTTGGTCTAAAACCGAACGTAGAGGAGCGTACATTCACTGGATGTAATAAAAGTTCCTTGAGAACCAGAGAGTGAGAGGGGAGATTGTTGTGCAGAGAGCAGGAGAGGAGAATGAAAATGGTTTCAAGGGTTTTAAATTGAGATAATGAGAGAAGTTGCTTTTTAAACTTAAGATTAAAATAAAATTTTATTTGAGTTTCCATTTGATCAGTGTATATATATATATATATATAATTAAAATACAATGAAAAGTTAAATGACTCATCACGTACGTCCTCTTCAAACATTTGTCTCAGTTTGCATGTTGTCGCCTCGCAAGCAAGCAATTTTCAGTTTTCTACTTGGGCAGCAACCCAGGAATTATAGGTATACTTTCTAAGTATTTTAGATGTTCTTAGTGTAATGATGAAGCAGTTTCACAAATATGTTACATTCGGTTGACTTTGCACAACATCGCATATGTAGATCATTGTTTCGATTGCATTCATCGAGTCATGTGCGAGCATTTCTTTTTGGATAAATTTGACGTTTTGAATGCGCTAAACAGTCCGTTTCATAAACATATGATGTTTGAGTAGCTTTGTGTGATGTTAAGAATTTTGAGCTCACTACACACTTCACCGTGTCGGTTGATCGTAGTCGAGGTATTGGGACTTGCTACATTGCGCATCCTATCGTTCTCGTTGTGCTCACTTGAATTGATTGGGGGATGTATATCAAGGTCAACACTACCTTAGCCTTGTTTTTTTGCTACTTAGGTACCTTACACACCAACGCCAAAACATAGCCACCCGAGGATTAAATGGGTCAAAATTGGGTTGGTAGGTTAATTTGAGAGTCCAACCTGTTTAACAAATTGGTAGAAATTCAGGACCCAAACCACATCCGTCTATTAACCGGGTCAACCCGAACCCAAATTTTTTGGGTCAGGTTGGAGGTCGGGTCATTTTTTTTACACCTGTACAATTTTCAATGCATTGTTAGAGGCAACATGTATTTTGAGTCCTAATTCTTCTTTTTTTTGTCCTAGACTCATTTAAAAGTGTTTGCGCGTCTATGTTGTAATCATATATCTTCATTCCTAAAACAAAGAAGCCTATGTGTCAAAAACTAATCAAGGAACATTTGAGGAGTGCAAGAGTAGGCTTGCAAGTTTCATAACTTCCTCATCAAGAATGCTCTAATGTTATTCAGGCTTAAACGGTGCTTAATAAATTCTCCTTCTATGCTCATTTAACAAATGGTTTTTTAACGATACCCATGAGATATTTAAACCCATTTAAATTGGATTTTCAAAACCATAAAGGATAGCCCATCGATTTGATGTGCAAGCAAGCTCAATTTACACCATTACATCCCAGTCATCTTCATGGCCTCCGATAGCTCTCTTTCGCCCTTGAATTGTATCATGAGTCTAATATATGGTTTGAGCTTGTCCACTAACTAGAAGGGTATTTCATTCTCGCTCATGGATGGAATTTGAAGCAATTTCTCCAAGAATGCCTTCATATACTCTTGAAATTTATCCTTACACTCTAAACAACATGTATTGTCCTCTGCATGATTGCATTAAAATTACAAGCAGAATTCCTGTTGAAACTTCTCCCATGTCAGTATGGCGTTCATGCTTCATTCATCACATATGGCTACCACCATAGTAAGGCACCATCAATAATACACATGGTGTTGCAGACTCTAACATGTAATTCACGATATTCGTCACATGAAAATAATGCTTCATGCTCCAGAAGAACTTTTTCTGTATCCTTAGCTAACCTAAAGTCTTTAAACTATGATAGTGTGGAAATGGCTCTATATAAGCTTCTAAAATAGAACAGCTCAGTATTGAACACTTTTATAGGTAAATAGACGATGCCTATCAAGATAAGTGCGGCAAAAATTGAATATGTTCATGAACAAGTACCAACCTACAAAGCCCTGCAATAAATTCGAAGAAAGAAACCAAAAGACATTAAAAATATAAAATTAGAATCCTTGTTATAAAACGACATAAACCAACCAAAAACATGACCAGATCTGCAATTGCAAATTTAGGAAAACTATATCAACAATGAAGAAATACATGAGTACCTTGTAACAGCACCCATGGATCTTCCCCACAACCCTATGCAGGAAATTTGTTTGTTATCTCGGAGAAAAGAGACCACTGTTTTAAGGTCATCCTTCTGGAAGATACACCAGATGCACCAAATGTTAAGATTTAAACAAAGAAAATACCGGCAAAGGCGAAGAGATTGGGAAATTACCTCATGCCAGCCAAGGCTGACATAATCACCACCAGAAAGTCCAGAGCCTGAAAAGTCAAGGGTGAAAACGATAATATTTGATGGAAGAAGAATGACAGCAGCCTCGTTTGCATCAGCCCTGCATCCACTGCATAACAAGCAGATTAAATACACATTTTCTTTTTACTAAAACAAAGAAGATGTGATGGAAAGACGAGATCTATGCTTAGGCTATAAAACAACAATGACAATGAAATTCAATGATCATATTGTATGAGATGGATGTTTTAGGCTCAAAATGCTAGCACATAAAAAACTCAAGTTCAAAGTTTGCATCCGCATCTCATTTCCCAAAAAAGAAGAAAAAAACTGCTCCAAAATTTGGTGCTTTAACAGTAATTCAGTTAAAAATACATTCATTTTCAGAATCTGATAACCAATGTTAGGGGTTGTCTGACTACAAGCTTTTAAATCCAAATTTAGTAAATATTGGAGGCATTAAATCTTAAAAACTGGTTGGCATGGTAAATGTTAAATCTGATTAAATCCTGGTAAATTATTTGGCAAATATTTTTAAGATTTAGAACTTAAATGAAAAAAAAAAGAGCAGACGTAAAGAGAAGAGTAGCACAAATCTCTTAAATCATACTTACCCAAGAATTTACCTAATATAGGATCATGGCCAAAAGGGGGAAAAAATGGGATTGAAGAATGCAGTGGGATTTATGTAGTTCAGAAACCGTTTGGTAAGGTTTAACCTACCTAATCTTAGGTAAATCTTGCAACCAAACAGCCTCCTAGTAAGTTAAATAAATACAAAAATTTAAGGCAAATATCATCTGCACATGGAAGATAAATGCAATAATGGATATCGGTTAAACAAACGAGCAAAGAAGCTTTGAAATAGAACAACAAACCTATTTCCATGGCAGTAAATCACACAGGGAAGAGCAGTATTTTCTGGCAGATATGCTGGAACATATTGGCTGCACTTCAATACATGACCCCTACTGTTTGTGAGCTGATAGGTTTCAGAAGCAGCATTCTAGTTGTTAGAATTTGCGTGAACCTGGATTCTAAAATTTTCATCAAAATTTGCAGAAAGACAGAAGAAACCTCTGTAACGGATCTCCGTACTTGCCTCCAAATCTTGGCGTTTGTATTTTCTTCCTGCAAGAGTAAATTCGGATTCCCATAGATAGTGATCAGGATTGTAGTCCGCCCTGTACATCACCAAATCCGGTAGAAGCAGTTCAACAATAGTTAAATAATAGAAAACTAGCCGAAAATACAACAGGCGCTGACAATGTTATTCAAATGGCATATCAAATGAAATATGCTGCAAATACAATGGTCCATCATTGAGGTTTAGTCTCAAATGACAGTAGCAGAAGATATTAAATAAGTTAATGCTGATAAATTAAGTTAATGCTAATAAACTAAGTTATGTTTGCAAAACTTTTAGTTCATTTACATGTATATTTTTTAGTTTACATTTTTTTAAATTACATGTCATATGTTAATGCTGATAAATTAAGTTATGTGCTCTCTTGACAAAGGACTATTATTATCATTGATATTTTCATTCATCTTATTTAGTGCTTATAGCATTCATTTTATCTTTAAATCTAAACTAAGTGATGGGGAGACGGGTGTTATTTTGTTGTGGACTGAGAATTTATATTTTATAGTGGTATTAGAATGTTGATGGAAGGGTGTAGGAGATGTGGTAAAGTAATTAGGGTTAGGTTATAAATAGTTTTAAAAAGAAACCACGAGCACTTATGAATGAGGGAATTATTTGAACAAGAGTGATGGTGGCCTGAAGGGCTTGGGTTTGATGTAGAATGGGTCTAGCCGAGAAGTTTAAATGAATGATAAGGTTAGGGTTTAAGAAAGTAGAAGATAACAAAAATTCTCCTCTAATGAAGACGTAAGTTTCAAGCAGCAATTATCCACATGTGAACAAGAGAGAGAAAACTCCCATAATTGAATTATCCAAGCTTGCTTCAATAATACATAAAATAGTATGGCTAAAGAATACATAAACTTTAAATCAACCACGAAAATAACTAAATAAAACTTTAAAACCAAGAGAAAGAGGGTTGGCAGCTCATGCATGAGAAATTTGGTTATAACCAACCCTTGAAATAACAAAAGCACCTTGTACTGTGGAGGAAACTATCCAAATGCCTTCAATTATGAGTATTGCTTCTTAATTTGAGGAGATATGGCCGTCCAACAATTGCTTTCAAACAATGATACTTGACCAAACATGATCTAGCCACCTTAAATTTAAAAAATACATGATATATTGAAATAAAATAAGTATAAAGTTCATGCAAAGTGGTGACTTGGTTTGAACTCTTAATCCTGGCATATGCACCACTTGATGCTTTGTATCACTAAGAAAGGAATTTATTTGATAACATAGTTGTTAGCAATAAAAAAAA